AACATTAGCAGTACGTTGCGAGCGAATAATTACAAGGAAGGAACCATCATATTTACACAGATAATTAGCAGTACGTTGCCAGCGATTAACTGTTAAAAAGGAGGAAATCTGGATATTTACAACATTAGCAGTACGTTGCGAGCGAATGATTGCAAGGATGTAAGCTAAACAATGAAATGGTCAAAAACGTTCATGACCCTGGTTGATGCCAAATGCAAGAACCTGTTAATGCTTATTTCTCCATCAATAAGTAGAAGTCTTGTCAGATTAGTAATTCTTTCGTCATTGTTTACAGCTGCCACTTTCCTGGCACGATTCAGTTGTTGACCGCGCCGAGCAGCATGAAGAGTCAACATTGCTCTCTGTTCAAGCCGACGCACAGCAGCTGAAAGATTACCAGTAAAGACATGTAAGTATGCAATATTATTATCTCAGTTTACTAAATCTTTGAGCGTGACCATCATATAGCCAGTTCTTACTTAAAAAGTGCCAAAGGCCTGGTCTGTGTGCCCCAGTTCTTGCTCTGAGCATCCTGTTGCAAGATTCAGAAACATTGTTTGTTCTGTGAGGCTGGTCAAACACACACATTGTGCTGAACAGTGGGTTTGTCATCCATGTGTCGATGAGGTAGTTGAAGAATGGAGCGAGAAGCTGAATGTACCCACGCCTTCTTGCCTCCTGGATGAGAGTGTTCAAGCCTCGGCCAATAAGATTCTGTGGCAGCAGGGGCAAGGCACACACAGAACGAATCAGGCTTTTAAGCCTTCTTTGTTGATTCATGAAAGGCACCAGCCCCAATTCCCTGGCCTTTTTTAGAACAGCCTGTTAATGAAAGAGAAACGTTAATCATCGAAGTGCTTGTTTGATTTTTCCTTGTTTTGTTTTTTTTCAGGGTTGTTACAAACATTCAACGGGAAGAAGTGAAGGAACGCACCCTGCAAAAATGGCAGTAGCAGCCAACAACTTGGGCATTTGGGAAGACAGCTTTCCAAGCGTTTTGAAGGCCAACCTCAAAATCCGTCATGACAACTGTGGGGTTGAACTGAGGTACAAGCTGCCTAATATGTTGGAGTATGGCTGTATACTCAGCCTGAGATTTGCCAGTCATCAGGACCTGACCCAAAGGTATAATCTACAAACCAACAAAATTATTTTTCAGTAATTATTCTTGGTTGTCAGAGGTTGTGTTTAGTGTGGAAATTAAAATAATTGTTTTACTTACAGCTCTATTCACAACTTTTGAAAATTGAAGGACCTGTCTAGCCTGTGGATCATTCGGCCTGCTGGCAAATGTAGCATCACAGAAGATTCTTGTAGTGTTTGCCAACGCCCGCCTCATCCGCCTTGACATGAAAATGACTGATGCAGTCCTTGGTGTGATCACAGTACCAGCAAACAAGTTGTCCCGCCCATCGATAGATGCAGCCAGGTGAGGGTTGTTCTGGAGTTGCTGTCCCAACTGGACAATATCAGGAGGTACGGCAGGGTACATGGCAGCTCTCGCCCTTTGAATTGGAGATCTCATCATATTGAGCGTTACTCGTGCTCCAATCTCAGGAGGATACCTGGAGGCAACATTTTTAAAATGTTAGGCAATATATAATATGAAATTTCAAAATTAAAATCTTCTGAAAATCTGTCAATTTTAGATTTATACATCCTTTAGCGGTTTGTCTGTCAAATAATTTGTAATTTAGTCTGTAAAAGTTCAAAACTACTTTTCATTGTGACCAACAAATGCAAGTGTAAGAGAGGATTTGTAATGCCCTCTGAGGGGTACAAATAGTTCTTATGTTCTATGGGAAGAAAAGTCTGAGGCACTGGGATGGAGCCATCACTTGTCACACACTAAATCTGAAAGGACTTTTATTGTCTATGGATTGATGTGTTTTTGTGCACATCTCAAGCAGATGCTAATTTGAATCTAGCAATGGACAAATTATCATCCTATTTAGAGACAATATTCTTTTGTCCATCAGTCTGATGCAGATTTGCCCCTGATCAGGTTGAGATGTGCACAAAAACATGTCATTGTATGGACAGTAAAAGTCCTGTCAGATATATTGTGCATCTTGGGGGTCAAGAAGAGAGATTTTTTTTTGTTTTCAAGGACTTACATGTTCTGAACACGTTCAACAAGTTCTGATGGAGATTCATAGCGCCCATTATCCCTCACTGCCTCTTCCAAAATTTGATGCTTCATCTGTTGAACCTGGCTGAAGTTGATATCAGGAGCACAGGTGTGACGAGTAAGGTTTTCCCATTCCATCATGTTTTCAGTT